CACACAAACATCAAATGGCACACATTATTTCACGGTTGTTCAGGAACATTACCTGGTTCAGCTTACTGCTGTGTATTATTTAGCTGGCAAGTCCTTAAGTTCTCAGCTCCATAAACACCATACTTAACATGATCTGTGGGGCTGTAGCATGCGGATGGGAACTCCTGTACTGTAGCCCATGTGTCATTCACTAATGAAACATAATGTGTGTAAAAGGTTAGGTTCTTTTATGCAGTCAAGACCATTGTCATTCAAACATGTCGAGATTTTTTTTAGATCTATTTGAATTGAATATTGTATTACCTGTCATTGACAATGAATAACCTTGCTTGATCTATATACCTCTTCACCTCGGACTGGGTCATTAACCATATGTTCCTTTTATAGATCGAAGAAAAACAAGAACGATGTTCAGTTTGCATATATATAGAAGGAAATCCTGTTTACACAAAATAAGTACGTAGAAAAGAAAATGAAAAAGTATGAATTCATATACAGAAGAAAACACAACTTTAGACAAAATTTGGATGTTAGAAAATTAGAAAACAGTTTCTAAATCTTAACTGATAATCTTTATTTTGTAAAAGAAAGAGATTCGTTCTCGAATTCGTGTTTACTGATTATTTCTTAGATACATGAACGCATCGCTCCAATAATAGCGTTTGATTTTGATGAATCACTGATCAAACCTTATAAAGAACCATCTCGAATTAAGAAAAAAATAGATGGAAGAAGATGGAAATAGATGGTGACTTCGGGAATTACAATACAAAAGAAAAGATAAAAAGATATAAATAGCCTATTGTCTGTAATCATTCATCCGTCTGTCGATATTTCTGAACACAATTATTTTTGTATATGTACCTAAAGTATATGCCTATAAATGTATTCCTATTCCTCTAAAAATACACACAAAGTCTTTGCAAAGAAAAATACAAGAAAAAAACTAATTAATACTAAAGTTTCATAGAAAAAAATATAATCTTTACTTGGCGAAATGGCGGTTTTGCTCCTCATATTTTATAGGATTTTAAATGATTTCAAAATTCACTGAGAAGATCGATAAACATTTTCAATGCGACTTTCATCCTTTCATTATGCATATCACTACTCACATTTTAATAACAAAAGATCTATGTGCTTATTTGTACCAAGTATAACCAAATACAAGGAGACATCCTAAAATATAAGCGATATAATTACCCACAGTTCTGTCGGAGTGAACCCACGCGTTCATTCCTTTAGCATTTAAAAATTATGTCATTGTTAACACGCTCGCTTTCAGATCTTCTTTTGTCACAACGAATTTTTTCCCCACCGGCCCTGCAAGGGAGGTGCCCTTGCCTTGTGCAATTGTGTGTTTGGTGCACTGTACTTTATTATAATAATGGTTAAAACACTTTCGTATGTTTTGCACTTGTATGTGAATCTCTCCTTCTGTCTCTTCATATCTCGGTGTCTATTAATAAATATTGAGCGAATTTGATGATTGTTTTAGTGTTGCCTGTGTTATTCGGGGTCCTGCGTCTTATCCAAAGGAAACTGGCTTGCACGTCAGATCTTTCGTGTAGTGTCGAGAACGCATGCTGATAGTGTTGGAATTAAAAGAAATGCTATTCTCTTGAATCTGAAATAAAATCCCTCATGGAATCAATCAAAACTGAAGCTGAAAGGAATCCCAAGATATCGTCTACATTTTTTGTTTTTCTCTCTCTCAAGCTGTTACGTGTCTTACTTTTTATTTGAATACTTCATAATGCCATTTGATTCTTCTTTGGTATCTTTTATCCATAATATTTGGAGATAAAGCATTTGTCAGAATGAACGAATATTTTGTTTTATAACAGCTCTATCCATAATCTCTTCTTCAACTTGCAATATCATGAAGAGACTTAACTTGCGGTCAGTATAACGCTGTGTGTTCGGAGCCATCAACCCACTTAAGCTACAAAGTTATCGGTCTGAACCATGTATCATACTTAGGCAAACCGGGGAATCTCCAGGACTTCTCCGTGCTCCCGTCGTCCCCTGGTTACAACTATTACAAGCAGTTTATAGCTGGTATTAGTCGTTTCCAGCGACGTTTAGTAGAATCCCGTGACTGTCGGCGAATATCAATATCTCCTTTTTGTCTCTTGCAATATTCTGCAGACTCGTTTTTACATATGGAATTACATTTGCATGCGCGTATATCCCCTGAGTCTGGTTATCTTACGAATCCTCTATCCAAATGGTATCTACGAGAAACCGTTATAAATCTCGTACTTTTGAGGTATATTTCATTTAGTATAAATTTTGCTTTACACAATCTAACCAGCATGTTCTAGCTTAATTGTATGTTAATCATATAAAAACACAATGAAAGCAATGCGAATTTATTATTTAATAGACCTTTATTCTTTAGACATTCGCTCTTAACTTTTGAATATATGAAAATTAACGTTGTACCAAACGTTTCTATGTCTGGCTTCAAGGAAGATTAAAATGCCATCAAATAAGTTTTGGTTGATTGGTAATTATTATTTTATTCTATCCATACCCTTCAAGTCTTAAATCCACGAACTTAACCACCTTGCGGTAACACACACGATCCAAATACAAGATTCGTAACTGGCAATAATTCTCTCGATTTCAAAGCTGACGTTCAATCAACAGGGGAAATGTCGACAAGCCTTTACAGAAATTTAATTCCTAGTCTCTGGGTCTGATCCTCGCAGCCACTTTCCTTCAACACCTCTCTTGTGTGCCAGGAAATTGAACACGGCCACCTCTGTCAGCCAGTCTCTCGCCTTCTCTCCCCCCCGCTCCCTCTTCTCGCCCTCCCTCTCTCCTCTCCCAGTTCCCAGTTCCCACTTTCTCTCTCTAGCCCTCACTCCTCGCCCTCTTCCACCCCCCCCCCCAGGTCCCATTGCTCGCTCGCTATTTACCATTAAAAAATATCTGTTCTTTTACTCCTATTCGTACAGCTGTCCCCCCCCCCTCACCTCCCTCCCTCCCAGCCCAAATCACCTGCTGCAGGTAATGAGACTCGAAGCAACAAAGTAATTAATATGAGGATTTGGATTTTCCTCGGCAGAAAGATTCCTTGCATAGAAGTTTATCATAATCTTTTAAATCCTTTAATCTTCACTTCAAGAAAAAAAAAACGGCAATACTAGATTATGTTAATGTTCAGAGGATTAATAAAAGAGAATAAAGATTCGTGGAAGATTCTATTCACGATACAATTTTTTTTGTGTTGATTTTTTCCCCCCTAAGATCCCCGTGTCGATCAGCATACATTAGACTTCGGGAACAAGGCGGTTGCAAATATGGAAAAAATATATCTGTAGTGATATCAGGCGAAGTTATCGAATACAAAATCGGTAATTCAATGTAATGGAGTTTATGCAATAGATATGAAGTGATAAGCAGGTCAGATTTTGCATGGCACGTCCTGAATGCAAAGGACCTCGTAGTCGCGATGGGAGTGTTCAGTGCCGTTGTAGGGGACGTAGCAAACTCCGTGGCTTGGGTGCACCTGGAGACAGACGAGAAGCCAGTTATTAGGTAAAGAAAATTAAAACTCGAGAAGCAAAGAAAAAAATATGGCCGGTATGTCCAATTCATAGCCTTGCAAACAGCAGAGTAACTATTAGGTTCAGATTAAAACCACACTGCTGCCGAGAAAAAAAAATAGAGACATCAAAAACAAGTGTCCTTACAAACTGCATACTAATTACTATCGAAAATAAACTATCATCAGGTAAAGAAAAAAAAAAACGTAGCGATCTATCTGAAATCCATATCCACGAGGTTTTTTTCCCTCCTGCTCACGTACCTTGCCGACAGACACCACGCCGTCCACAGAGATCCTGCCGATGTAGAGAGGCTCCCCGTCCTCAGATCGGCCCCCCTGCAAAGCTCCGCTGGGAACCTTGCCTTTGCTCCCCGGTTCCCAGCTGATGTTCACTGTACCGGGGTTGCTCAGCACCTGCGGGAAATAACGCACAATGGAGCTTCGACTTTTTCTTTCTTTACTGTTGATCATGTTTGTGTGTATTTACATATTCAATTCGTCATTCAGTTTAATGTACACATTTCTTATTTACACTGTTAACAGGTAAAGGCACATCACGTACAAAATACTCTTCCTTGGCTATAGCTTCTCCTCCGAAGGGTATGTAGCAGCATCCCTGGTCTGGAACGACCATGCCCAGGATGTAGCCGCCCTCGTGGTGCGCCATCCCGACGTACACCTCCCCGTCGGGACCCTCGCCGCCGGACACGGGATGCCTCGGGAAGTAGCCGCCCTTAGCCGGCACCCAGCGCGCGGGACGCTTGTACATGATGGCTGCGGAAAACAGGATTTACCTTTTAAATACCATACTGTATCTCATGTTGGAGGATTTATTTAATTCATTTACTTTTTATACTCAACGAGAATCTTCTATTAGTGCTTTTCAGGTATTTTACCAGACTTGTGTGCTATTCAACACAATTAAGAACAATTTTCGTAGTGTGCGTGTATGGGTGATCCACCATTATTAAACAACAATTTCTGAACCTGTTATTTCGTTCTAAAATCAGTTTTTAACTAGCAACCGAGAAATCAATGAAGGTTACATGATCGATATGGACATTACGAACCACTGGACTAACCAATATCTTTTATATTCATTAGCTTGCAAATCGACAGGCCTACATTATATCTGCATCACATTGATGATCATAAATATTTCACTAATTCAAAGAATGCAATCCCACTGCATTCATGGACAACAATGCCTCCAGAACGTTAAGTTCCTTTGTTGCAGTTGAAATCTGTCTCGCTGCCCCCCTCCCCCTCCACTGTATTACCATGACAGCTATCCAATCCTCCCTTCTCTCCCATATTTTGCCCTTTCGAACAGCATCTGAGCTCCGACTCCAGGTGAGTTCTTACGTCTGTCTTCGAGGTTGTTGATGTCCTCCGCCTCTGAGTCCGAGGAGGACATGGCTGAGGAGGACGAGGAGGATCCTTCGTCGTCATCTGGCGGGAGACAAACACGTTAGTCGCCTTCTTACTCCTCTCAAGGGCCAGCAAGGCTTCGTCCCGAAGGACTATCAAGCACAACTTTCGTATATCAGACAAGCAGGAGGCGGCGGGACCATACCCGGGAACATCCACTCCCCGGAGGCGCCCCAGCCGGTGGAGTAGCCGTACCACGTGACGTGGAGCAGCGTGTCGGGGTCGGTGTAGCTCATGAAGGGGTGCTTCTGCCCGGACCGCCCTACCTGCGTGGCCGGGTGGAAGGGTTAGACGCGTGTGTATGGCATGCAATCTGGATCAGCTAAGCATTCCCCTTCCCCTTTATTCATATGTCATCCGTGCCTTGTCTCATGACTAAACGGAATAGGCCAAGCCGACCTTGATGACGCCGTGCTCGATTTTGATCCAGAAACTGCGGAACTCCTCGTCGCTCACGATGTCGGGCGTCTCGACCCGGCACACGTCCTCGTCCCTGTGGCGGCGGATGCCGGACTCCCCGCCTCCCCAGCAGCCGATGAAGATCTCGTACATGTCCTCCTGCTCTTCGTTGTCGTCAGGGGAGAGGCAGATGGCCACGTCGTGGGCCGCCTTCACCTGGAACCGGATGGCCGTAGTTTGGATGCGCCGGAAGGTGTATCGGCGCGTTTCTCCGCAGTCCTCGCTTTCATACACTGCAATATGCAACAACTATTCTAGCAAGTCAACATCAAGACGTTTCAAACAACGGGTGTTTCGCAAACAAATGTGAATTATGACCTAAATTTGTAGCACAAGTTATTTCCAGTAGTCTTTCTATTTATTAATACTGTAAACGTTTGGGCTAAACATACGGCCTTCTGTCTACGAACCGAATCGAATGCATAAAGGCGAGGAGTAAGAACGAGAAACAAATACACAAAGGGTAACAGGCCGTGGGAAAAACGTGCAGCAAATACCCATGTATACGATTATACATGTGCGTACACACTTGTACATGGAGACATTCATTCATAAATCTCTAAAATGCTGTGCTGACTTCCGAAATACAATACATGGCAATGTTCTTGTCCTATAAAGATTAGGCCAGGTGATATGTCAGCTATTGCCTATATACCCATAGAATTTTGGATCAAAGAATGGAGAGAAAATGTACGTAACAAAATAGCATTAACTCTGCAGTAGGAAGACCGTTGAAAAGAAACTCCATCTGATTTATGATTTATACTGAAAAAGTGGACATCGTGAAGCCATGCTTCCAACAAAAAAAAAATCTTAAAACTATATTTTAAGACTCTCTGGGAGGATAAAGAATATTGCAAGACCCATTGTGTGTTCATTCCCTAACTACCTACTTATGCAAAACTAGGAAACGGTACCCAAGTATGACATCTCCATCAGAATCCTCCGCGATGGGGATAAGAGGAAGCGATAAACAGATTAGTAGATGTATTTTCTCGCCTTATTCAAATGCAATTTTGAATAGGCTGTAGACAATTATTAGTGCTTCACTAATGATCCGACACGAATAATACACCAAGGTAATTAAAATGGCGGCTTAATTTCACTTATTGATTCGAACCAGTCCAGCTCTATTCTGCCGAAGTATACGAGCATGCAGTCCTTCGCCGTAACTTCAAACCGGCAAATAGGACTTCTATGCATACGGTATGCTATAACGGTTTCACAAGTAAGTAAGGATTAGTTTTCAACCAGCCATCTTTTAAAAGGAAAAAAAATGTATGCATAGGACAGAGCGATTAAATCTAAGAAACCTTCGAGTACTTCCGTTGCAAATCAAACATAACGAAGGTATTTGACACGCAATTGTCTGAGCCCGTAATGAAAGGTTTTAAAAATAGTCAGCCGATAACCATTCCTACATTTTTTTTTTTTTTCACTTTTTTTTTTTACATTTCTTGTAATCGTCTAATTTTGTATTTAAATAAAGTCCGCACATAATTACATGAAGGAGAAATTGTTATCTACCTAAAATGATACCACTATACAAGACTAATACTATAATAATATCGAGTATTTACTGTAGCTAATAAATTTCTAACTGCGCAAATCGATGTGTGGCGCCCTAACTACGAGCAAGAGGGGAGTGAAGGATTAAAAAAATCATGTCACCGCAGGAATTGTGCATGAAACTTTTTGAAACTACTATTGTACGCCACATGGGCATGACCACTGTCACGAGAGCCAGTAGTATCGCAGGAAATACTATAAATCAACCAGATGACACCGCGTGTGTGACAGGGGTGTTTAGTGGGCAAGGAAAGCAAATGTACTATTTTTTGCTTAAAGTGGATCTCAGGTGCTAAGGGTGTGATCCTCATTACTACTGGTATATCTGATTTTTAAAAAAGATAACGCTATAGAATTTGATAGAATTTCCGGTATTTTGCCAAGAGTTAAACTGCCCACATGGCAATTTACTTTGCAAATAGTGTGAAGATTGATATGTGGAGTATTGGGGCATATGAAAAACCGCACAAAGTTTTCTCGACCAGCGATTACAGGCACGTTTCTGTTTCTGTTTGTGAATCATTGGCTGCAAAAGTATTGTGATATACAGTGACGTAACCTACAGCATCATGATTACAGACATCTGTTTAACATTCTGAAAACTTTGTAGACCCACACATACACACACACACAACATTGAAAGGTTGTGGAGAGCCCTCAAGGAGTGGGTAAAGCGCCCCGACACTTAGAAGTGAATACATTCCGCAATTCCTCGTGCGATACCGGTTTTACCACAATTCTCTCATACATTCCTTCTTTCAGCAAGCGAAAGTATTATACTCGTAGCAAGGCGGGAGAGAAAGACACCTGCCCCTGCCAGCCCACTTCCTCTCGACAGGGATATTTTTTCCGAGAGCTAATAAAAGCAAGTAGGGGTTCACAATTACCCGATTGTTTATCAGCATATAAAACTATCAAAACGTACATTTAACTAATTATAAAACCTACCATGTTTTCGCGCACGTCAAGGCAAAATTCATCTGAAATGGCGAATAATTATTAATATCTGAAACTGTAAGACAAGGACACCATGTATAACAACCAATTATCGATAAATTAGCGATCATACTGTGATAAACCGACAAATTCTAGCCAATGAAAACTTCAGAAAATTACGTCAGTGTTTTATGAACAATCAAAACTTTATTTCGGAAACCTGTGCACCCGCCCATAAAAAACGTTTAGTGTGTCTGCCCGCTGTTCAGGAAAGTGTAGGGATGAAAAAGATTATATCAAAAGCCGTATCAAAGTTTTAGAAGTCGCAGATTACATCTACCGCTAGAAATATTACCACGTCAAAGACGTATGTATGGCTAAACGTAAAAAAGGAGTCTCAGCGATATAAAGTTCGATTTAATCAGCTTATAACAATAACCGGCAAAATCATGTTATTTATTACGCGAAGTAAAGATCTTAAAATGATAAGTAAAGACCTATAATAAAGCCTTGAATTTTAGCGTAATACACGCAATATTACTGCACATTATTACCGGTTTGGATTAAAGTCGTTGTCTATTGTAAATGACAACAATTTGATGGATTCGTGTTCCGTCATAACGCGCGCGACAAAATCGGGCTGAAAGCATTATTTTAAGTTCCGTGGCATGAAACTACCGCAACATCCTCCCATATAAATGGCGCTCAGGCAAAGGCAAATGGATTCTACCTTACATTTTATTGCAAGTATAAATCTTGAACGTTTTTCATATTTTACGTCAATCATCAATGAGGCTTGCAAGCGTTACAGTTTTCTTATTAAAAGTTGCATTAGTTCAATTATTGAATGCATCTGTATCGTGCTTACTTCAGACAAAAATTAATGTCGGATTTAACAGCAGATTTGTAAAACGTAACTGTATATGTGAAACACGGCCCCCTGCCCCGTAGAGTTTAACAACCACGATATGAGTGATTTTGCACCGTTTTGCTGTGTAGATTCTTCCCAAATAAACAGCGTGTGGCCGACCTTTACACTTTATCAACATTTCCGTCACTCATCAAATGCGACAGAAAACAGCTTAAAACTAAACTACGAAGGAATAGTACATTAAAAAAGGTTTCGAAAGTCGGAGGCTGGTTGAAACTGGAAATTTACCCAATAATCAAACAAATTTATTGGTTTTCTAATCACATTTTACACTTGAACTCGGACGCTTCGCAGGGTACAGAACGTGTGTCGCCGTGGTTGCAAGCGGTATTTAAACTGCCAGTGACAAGTGAAGTGAACCGACATGTTTTTTTTTTTTCCAATGGTGCGATTTAAAATACAGATTGCCAAGAAATACGACGATAAAACTGAAATTGTATTGAACTTGCACAGCACCATAAACTAATTCTTAAAACACATGAGTGCCCCAAGTGTAATCAAATATGCAAATTAGATGAAAACCACATACATTCCGGTGTGGAAAGAGTTACGCCCAGAGCCCGAAGAAAAAACATGCACTTCAGGTTACAATTTGGCAACGCTAGATTTTGAAACTAATTTCATATTCATTAACTTGCATTTAAGACCTGAATTACGACCTGACAAAGCGAGAACTGTAAATTTTCAGTTAAAATTTATGAATGGGCCAGCTTCTTCCAAAAAGTATTAAATGGCGTTTGCTTAACACAAAATCGCTGGTGAAGGGAAACGTATAAATAGTTAAATCAAAATACGGCAAAAGGAAATGCACTGTTGGCCGAGTTATAGAATGCCAGTGGTTATTTGTTTTTTTTTTGTAGTGAGGACCGTGATGCAGACATGTTATTGAAAATAAACGACTACACATCACTTAGAACAATGATAATCAGCGACTACTGGATAGCATAGGATTGTTTAGAGAGGATATAAACACTTAAAAGTAAATCAAATAATTTCGTTAATCCACAAACCAAAGCGCACACAAACATTGAAAGAAAAGGGAGGGGCGCGAAGAGGGGAGTGCCACAGTTAGGAAGGAAGAAATATTTCGTTGGGTATTTGGCTCGTGTGAGGTTTACAAAACGTCCTGAGTCAAAACAAACGCCTTCACCATTTTCACCATTTTCTTCCATTTTCTGTAGAGCTCTCTCTCTCTCTACCCAGCCTCTTCTTAAATCAAGTATTGACTTATTCTTACTTAAAATAAGCAATAGAGGGTGGGGGTGAGAGTCAAGGAGTGGAGCCCCCAACAGGGAAACACGGCGACCGGAGGAAGGTTTTTGGATCGTACGGCGAGGTTTGTAATAGTTTATTCGCTTACACTGAGGTTCAAGTTCATTCGCACAACGCTGTGTCGAATCTTCCGAGGCTGAATCTTGGCTCAAGTTTTCCCTTCCACTTTTTTATTATATGAAATGAATTCTTGGCCCTGATTTTTCATTTTGGTTCATCTTTCCGGTTTGGACGCACAAAGCTAGGGCAAATTGAAGACGATATTTTTATAGAGTACAAAGAGTTGCAATCGTCGGCACAGGAACTAATCTGCAGACACGAACGGTAACGCCACAAAGAAAGGAAAAGTTGAAAGAAAAAGCTGCCTCGCAACTCGCACACCGTTTTCTCTCGTACTGCGCACCTACGTCATCACGACAGAGCAGAATCATGGAGTTCAGTTAATTGAAGAAAAAAATATATAAAAAGTGTAGACTTTACACTAACAAAAACTAGACGTGACAAATCTAGAAAAAATAACTATCTGCGGTGTAACTTTAAACCAAAGCTATAATTCCTAAAACTTGGTTCCCATATTCAAAATACAGGCATTGAAACAAATATATACTTCGCGCGCATAAATGTGATGGCCACTTTGACAGCTGGTCAGTTTCAAGTATGACTAACCGGTGTCAAGACTTGTGACAGTGGATTTAGTGTTAAAAAAGGCGAAACTGAGAAAGTGATCCGCTTTTGCAGAGAATATGGTCTTTTACTAAATACTATTGAGTGTGCAAAGTGTGGGGCAGACTGCCGAACGGATAAAGAAAAAAAAACTATTCAAGATGTGATAAGTCAAAGAAAAAAAAAACAATAGGCGTGTAAGATGCCAATTTCAAATATCTATATTCAAACACCCATGATTTGATAAAAGTCAGACATCGAAACGAATCTTTTTCGTTAACCTATACAAGATTTTTTTTTCTTATGAACTAGTGGCAGACGAACTAGGTTTATAAAAAAAAAAACAGCTAGCTTCTGTAGAGAAATGAGAGTTTCTTGAGGTCTCAATAAATTAATAAAATAGTGGAAATAGACGAAAGTAAATTCGGCAAAATATAAAATATAACGTTGGGCAGTGGGTGTTTGGCGGGATCTGCCGTCAGACGAGACTTTCCTTGTCCCCGTTGCTTCCCGAGTCGCCGAAACTTCTCGGCGTCATTAAAGAAAAAAATAAGAGCCGGGTATAACAATTAGTGATTGCTGGAAGGAATATAAATGGCTTCAACACGAAGAATTTAACCATTTGACAGTGAATCAGTAAATTTCGTTGACCCGGTGACAGCCACTCATACTAACACCATCCAGCGGAAGGGGAGAGAGGCCAAGGCGGAAGTTCCCCGCTACGGGAGGAGGATGTATAACTTCGTGGGGTACTTAGCTCGGGCGATGGCTATGGGTTAAGTTTTGACTAGCCATCTTTAATCCGGAAGAAATGTGTGTGTATGTGATAGAGCAAATAAATCTAAGAATCTTTTCTGTGAACTTCCGTCGCAAATCAGTAATAACGAAGTTATTGGACACGCAATTGTCAATATTTTTAAAATCTCCATCCGATATCCTTTCCTACTTTTTGTAAACAAAACAATGATGCCGTTTTATTTTGTTTAATTTATTGTAATACTTTCATATCGTAATTAGATAAATTCCGCATAAACTTACATGAAGGTAATTTTGTTTCAGCATAGAAATATCTGACAAAACACGAGTAATACCATCATAAAATCGAGTATTTACAGTAACTGTTATTTCTTACTAAATCGATGTGCCTGGTCCATATTACAGGCAAGAGGGAACTGAAGAATTGCGCGCGATTTTCAAAAACAATGTTACCGCATAAACTGCGCACGAAACTTATTGTATACCACATGCGCGTGGCAATTGTCACGAGAGCCAATAGTATTACAAGGAAAAAGTATAAATCAATCACATGCCACCATTTGTGCCACACGTATGTATAGTGGGCAAGGAAAGCAAATATACCAAATCTTTGCTTAAAATGGATCTCAGGTGTGTAGGCGGTGATCCGCATTACTATAGTTATATCTGATTATTTTGGAGAAAAAAAATGATAACGCTATAGAGTTCCTGAGATTACACGGTGTTTTGCCAAAAGCGGTAAGTTGCCCACATTGCGATTTACCTTGCAAATATCGTGAAGATCGACATATGTGCAGATGGAAAAAATAGACAAAACGGCGTAAAAGTAGAGTTTTCTCGATCAGCGATTACACAGGCACGCTTCTGCAGGGGACCCATGTGGAACCTTGTAAAGTAGTTTTGTTTATGAATCATTGGCTTAAA